CGTTTATGGTGTGATGTCAGCATGACAAAATAAGTGTCCCATAATGCATTCCTCACTTCTCTCTCACCAACTGTACATACCATTAATGAATGTTATTAACTTTGTATTTTTGGTTTTAGTATTKTTCTATGGATTTGGACTCTACCCCAGAAGGGGATCTGAATTGACTGTCCTTTCCTGCTTTGTCATCTTTGGTGCTCAGTTCTTCCTGAGAGTCACTGCCTTACATGACGTAACCGTTTCCCTTCTCCAACGCACCTGATTCAAGCAGCTAATTAATCCTATTGTTCAGGACATTGGTTTTAGATCAATAGTCTGTACTGGGACTAAATTTAAAGTTTTATATTTAATTTTAAATTGAATTGAGAGGTGCAAGTGAAAGTGCAGGGGTCAGAAGGATTGCCAGTTCAACTCCCTGGACTGACAACAACAACAACAAAAAAGTAGGTAATAAAGGTGAGGTTCCCACCCTCATTTACCCCACGGTGGCTCCTTGAGCAAGGCCCGTAACCTCCACAGCAGCTCCCAGGGCTGCCTTGACTGTAAAAAGTATTTGTGCGAGTTTGCTCGCTGTGGCGACCCCAGAAGAAGAGAGTAGCCAAAAGAAAATGTAATCGTTAAAAATTTAGATTTTTAACTCTTAATTGCTCAAAAAGTTTTTTTTTTGTTTGTTTCTGTGTTTTTTTTTTCTGAGGCCTTACTAACCCTAAATTGACCCAAGAAATCAGCAATGCACACCAAACAAAAGTTTCAACACCTCCACCCCCCACCCCCCGGTGGAGCTTCTGGATGAAGCAGACCCATGACCCTTGAGGACCAGAAATGGATAATGTTGATGCTCCACAACCTATAAACTCTCTGCTATGGTTTTTCAGACACTACCTAAAAAAACATTTATCTTCATAACCCCTCATTTCTTAAACAGAAACTGTGTGAACACTAAGACTAACGCTGCACTGCATAATCATTAATCAAAATAAGACTTGACAGAAAAACACATCCATAATGGTAAACGATGCCGAGTTGCACAGCATACATTTGTTAACCCACTCCACAACTGATTCAAATCCTTAATGAATTTTAAGAGATCTGGAATAGCAACTTGCAGAAAGCTTTCCTCGCTCACAGCAAAAGCTGCAGAAAACGAATACAGAGTATTTTTGAAGTCTTCCTCAGATACTACTTGAGAGCTGGTTGGAAAATCTCTAATTGTCTGGTCAGGTCGAATGTAGCCCCTCTACAACAACATCTCAGGGCTGCAGAGCAGGAAGGCAAATGGCTACAGTTTGACCCCTGGGGCAGAGAAAGTGATCTGCCTTTTATGTGCAAACAGGGGAATTCTCAAATACGTTATGAATATTACATAAAAGATTAACAAAATCTCCCACAAGTTCTAAGGTGGAACGTTGCCAGCGTAAGGTTAAACCATTTCAAGTTATCAGTGTCTTTAGTGTTTCACTGGCATGTGACTAGATGGGAACACAAAACTGCAAAACTCAAAATAAAAAAACATTTACACCACATTAACCCCATTGAGCTAACAGGATTTGCATACATACATAACTGAATAAATATTCATTTTGGCATCTTGGCAGCTTGGTTAGCGTGGGTGTCTTCTGTGTGGAGTTTGCATGTTCTCCTCATGTCTGCGTGGGTTTTCTCTGGGTATTTCAATTTCCTCCCACAGTCAAAAACATGCATGTTTACCTGCCTTCAGGGCCATGTCTGCCTTGCAGAAGAGATCTGTGATCTCAGTGAGATTGCCTGGATAAATAAACGTGAAAACCGTTCGCTATCTGTTGCCAACAGTCATGACCCAGTGAGATGCAGGTTTCACAGGAATGCAAGGCTCCTTTGGTATGTATTGGATTAAAAGTAAACTAATTGTTTGGTTTTGATTACCACTGCAGTCCAGTAATGGGCTCATCTTATGAATCCACTGAGAACTGATTTGCTTTTGCATTTAACCAGAGAGGAATTAGTTTCACATTAAGCTTATGCCTGGTTTTATTATGTTTGGTTTCTGTTTTGTTTCTGGGAATATGTACTTTGTTGACCTGTAACAAATCCCATCTTTAAAATCCTTAACTACAAGTGTAGGGTTTATCATTTAATGCAAAAAAATAATACAGAGTTTGTCCAAATGTTTGGGACCACCCTCACTATCGCCACAGAAATGAAAGCAAACGAGGCAAAAATAAATTAGCAAATGATTGATTCCCTGTCTTCATTGTCCTATAACTGGACCAATAAGACTAATCTGAACACAGTTTCATTAAAAGCATGTCAGTTGAGTTGATAATCCTCCAGTAAAATGTAAGAGGCAATGGTATTGTTGAGGATGTGACAGAATGTGTCCCACACAAACTCTGAATAGGACCAGATTTTAATGCATCTTCAGTGCATTCTGGGAACTCTCATATTCTTGGTTCTCGAGTTTTTTGTCCTGACAACCTGTGACCAGATTACCAAAGACACATTACATAGCAAGAAAAAACAGCCTCAAAGATGCATTTAAAACAGCCCACTGAAGAGATAGTTGAAGGTAGTCATGTCAGTCATTAAAAGGTTTAAACTAGGCTGCTCTGCAGCCCGTTTCAGATATTCTTTTTCAATATAACCAGATAACCCTTATGCAGAGGAAGTTGACCCTCTGAGTCCAAAAAGGTTTTTGCAGATGATAGTTTGCTTCACCCAACTTCAACCATCAGTTAAATACATCCTGTACTTTCAGATCTTTGACATGTTTCCCTATTTATGGTACAACTTTTTTCCCACACTGTATAAAATCAATCAATTCCATGACTCACTGGATGTAATAATGTTATTGTATCATCAAAAACATCCATGAAGAGAAATAACCAACATCATTTATGCTTTGTAGTGAAGAAAAACATCAAAARCAATTAAATCCTCCAATTTTAAAACAAAATTTCTCTTGAAACTTTGTACATTTTAAGTGGTTTAAAGACTCCCTCGACTTTTTAAAATGTCCCCTTTTCCAATAGAAACTGTGATCAAGCAATTAACATCCTTCTAATCCACATTTTGACTTATTAATCCAAGACAGTCCCAATACTTTACCCCGTGCACTGGTGACCTTTCAGTGACAACACAACCAACTCAAGGCGTTTCTTTGACAACATGATGGCTGATGACAAATAGCAACAGTACCGGTACATTGAAAAATAACTTTGTGATACATGGAGACAGAGGCCCTTTCATGTGCCTTCACACCAAAATACCTGCAGCCTAGCGGAAACATGATGAAAATGTCAAAGTGAGCAGTTTGCAGCTAGCTGAGGGGCAGCAGTGACAGAGAAGTGAAAAGCAGCATTTCAAAACTGTTTCCCACTACAGCATTCAAGGAAAAAAACGTGACATTATATTAAAGAACAAGATAAGATCCAAAAACAATCACAAGGAAAAAAAATAAAGAAAGAAATCGATCAAACATAATTAGAAGATTAAAGTTTCTTACCTATCCCATGCCTACAATATCCAATACCATGACAGCAAAAGTAAACGCTACTCCACAAGGACAAATCTAATCTAGAACGATTGTAATTTTGCCAGCTAAGAGAGGTATCAGGTTGTAACGTGTGCAGTCCCAGATAAAATCACATTAAAGGAAATTGCCTCTTGGTGAACATAATTGCATCCTTCCAGACTTATTATTTATGTCCCCAAGATATCAAACAATATAAAGAGAGAAAAAAAAAACAATAAAAGACAGGGCCCCATAAGCGAACCAACCTATCATTGGAGACAAATCATATTGAACATCTACAAGCCATAAAACCAAAGGTCAGCTTTAGCCCAGTCACCAACAGAACACACCACCATATGAAAATCCTGCCTAATTCTTCAGCACTTTGGCATGCATCATGTTTGAAACATCATAATCAGGTTTTTKGTATTTTAATGTGAAAACTACGCAGCTTCTTTTGTGTAAACTGGGTATGGAGGACAAAAGAAGATRTGCTTAGAAAATTATGTTTTATGACATCATCTCAAGATAATGAGTTATTTAACTCAATGGTTTCATAATGTAAAAAAAAACTGTTTTGTTTTGAAAATTGTTTAATTATGTCACAGTTTGTTTTCTCAATATATTGAGTTGATGTTCTAAGTTATTTAAAACTAGAAGCAGAAAATGTTACGTTGTAGAACATCCATCATTGATCTACATAAAATGGATAACGTCCAAGTGGCCTGACAGCRATGTTCAAAAATGAAATAGGGTAAAACACAAGAACACTCATTATCTCACTATATTCATTTTTTTATCTTATAAAAGAACCACTTGTTTTTCTTTATATAACGTGTCCCTGTGATTCCATGTGATAAAACTAGCTTGGTTAGCTTGAAATATT